GGTGTGATAGAGAATGAGTACGTGTGCACAGATCTCTGTTAGTTGTTCATGAAGAGCAGTGAAAGGTGAATTGGGCTGATACTGGCTGTCATCTGTCACTGGTCAGTTGGTGCAGAAGCAAGTGGGGGCCCTCATTCAGTGGGGCTGCAAGAGATAGGTATGATTGGGTCATGTGGAAACAGTTACTGTCTCCCACTCAGTCAGACAAAAATTAAAATAAATATATATACCACAAAAAACAATAAGTGAGAAAATATTTAAAGAAATACTTTAAAAAGACGAAATCTAAATAGAAAAAGAAAAAGTCTCACAATATCTGTAGAGGGAGAAATAAGAGAAAAGAGCAAGAGTAAAAGAATAATTTTTTTAAACAAATGAGAAAAGTGCAGAAAGAAAAAATGGGATGGGAGGAACCAAAGGAAAGAAAAAAATGATGCGAACTAGGAATAGGGGAGAGGAAAAAAAAAAAAAAAACAGAACCCAGAAAAGGAAAAGGAAAAAATAAAAAAAAGGAAGGAAAAACAAATAATTTAAAAACAAAGACAGAACTGGGAGGGGCCAGACACCCAGACTCTGTCGGGGCACAGACTGGGATGGAATTTCTGCCAGTCCAGAACGTGGGTGGAGGTGGGGGATGGCTACACCTCCATTCACCAAGAGTGTGTGGGGTATAAGAGTAACAAGGGGAATATAGCATCTTTCCAGTTGTCAGCCTCAAGTGTGGTTACCCATGGTGTCCTCAGGAAGCACAGCCTATTGGTAGGTCACTGGTATCCAAACCCCACTTGCAGATATTCAAAATGGGTGTACCCTCAGGATAGCTGAAAATCCACAGCTCAGTTTGTCTCCTTACTGGCTGTTTTCTAGTCATCAGCCACCAGTATAGTTGTCCATGGAGCCCTGCTGAGCTGGACTGATTGCTAGGTTACTGCCCAGGTCCTAATGCCACTTGTAAATATTCAGACTGGCCATGCTGTCAGGACAGCCAGCCACCCACAGCTCCCATTTGTCTCCTTTATCTACCGTTTTCATTTAGGTTCTTCTACTAGTTGGTATTTAATCTACTTCTTTATCCTTCCTTTCAAAGCTCAAGGCCCCAGGATTATCTTCTGTATCTCTGTCAGTTGCTTTCTCTTTTTCTTTGTTGAAAAGGGTCTGTGTAGCCTGCCTGCCATCTTCCATGCTGAGTTCTATACCTTCAGTATCACAAAAACTATTTTACTGGGTTATAAGAATAAATATGAAAGTATCTTGAAGTCTTAATCACACCTAGACAAGGATTATAATAAACTGAAGAGCAGCAGAGTATGTCTCCAACTGTTTTTAATCTTGCCATTTTCTCCTGTCCTCAGCAGGTAGAAGGAGAACTCACTCAGCAGCCTGGTTTCCCAAAGCGAGGCCAGAAACGGAAAAGTGGTTATGTACTGAACTTCCCAGAGGGTGACAGCCGTCGACGCCGAGTATTGTCAAGGGGCCGAGAAAGCCTGGCAGTGCCTCGGTATTTGGAAGGACTGTCCCCATCCAAACGGCGGCGACTCTCTATGAGAAGCCACCACAGTGATCTCACATTTTGCGAGTGAGTTGAGTGAATTGTGGAAACAGCTGTCTCTACCTTTGCTAGAGGAAAGGGCTGGGAGGAGTCAGTGCATTTGCACCCTGAGGTCCAGCTGTCCCTGTTCCTGTAACAATAGGATTATCCTAATGGAGATGGAGTCCCATGATGCAGCATGGCCTTTCCTGGAACCTGTGAACCCACGGTTGGTGAGTGGATACCGGCGCATCATCAAAAACCCCATGGATTTTTCCACCATGCGGGAACGGCTGCTTCGGGGAGGGTAAGTAGACATAGGTCAACTTCCAGCTCTTATTTGTCATTGCCATAACTCCTTCCAACTCACAGCTCAGCTTCTACCTCTGCCTAGGTATACGAGCTCTGAGGAATTTGCAGCCGATGCCCTTCTGGTCTTTGACAACTGCCAGACCTTCAATGAAGACGACTCTGAAGTGGGCAAGGCTGGGCACATCATGCGTCGCTTCTTTGAGAGCCGCTGGGAGGAGTTTCATCAGGGAAAACAGGCTAATCTGTGAGGCGGGGGTGGGCTCATGCTGTGGCATCCCCCTCCCTCCAGAAAAAAGATAGAAAACCTGCCATTCTCACCTGCTGATGCTGCCTGGGGTCGAGATTCAAGAGTCAGATATGCTATGATTTTTGACCTGATCCTTGGCAGCACCCCATATCCTCCTGTCCCCATGCCTTTCTCCCTTTCCTCCTCTTGCTCCTCAGATAAGAGGGGCAGAGATGAGGTCCTTCTGGACTGAAAGCCAAAAAAAGAAAGAAAAAAATACTTTTTCCTTTCTGTTTTATTTCCTTATTGAAAATTGGGAGGGAAAAGCCATCCCCCGCTTCCTCCTCCCAGCTTCCTCTCTCCTGCCCTGTATGTGCCCCAGCATTCTGGGGCTATTTAACAATAGCAATAGTTCTAGTGAATGTGTGAAACCGAGAAACACTCTGTACTGTGTGCGGACCCGTAGTGACGGCCAGTAAAGTGGACTTAACTCCCAAGTGTGTCGAGCCGGACACCGGGCCCTGGACATGCTGCTTCCATGTTCAGTCCCTCTCCTGCGTCTCGCTTTCTCTCAGTAGACCTCTCCCCCATTATTCAGATTTTTCTTCATCTAATGTAAAATTATCGTGTACGGGTTCCTCCCTTTCTCTTCCTCCACATCTTTTTTTCCCTTCAAAGGAAAAAAATCTTCAGTGGTCCCTGTCTTTCTGTCTCCATCTTCCTGCCAATAGCTATCCCCTCTATTGATGTCGGACGCTCCTCACGTGCTGAGTTTCCAGCCTTTTCTGAAACTCAGTAGCTGGGGAGCGGGTAGGGAGGCATCCTAAGCCTTCCAGCCTCCTTCCCCTCTTCTTACCCAAACCTCCCTCTTGGGAACTCCTCAGGGACAACTACTGCTGAGTTTGGGTGCACCCCAAGATGGAGGCCAGGTAGCAATGACCAGTCTCGGAGAGAAGAGAGGTGTGTGTGTGTGTGTGTGTGTGTGTGTGTGTGAGAGAGAGAGAGAGAGAGAGAGAGAGAGAGAGAGACAGAACGATGTGATAGTGCCCCTGTATTGTTTAGTGAGATCCATTCAGTTTTCCCAAGTATCTCTTTTTATTCCCAACTTTCCCATTGTTTCCAACCATCACTTTTTTGTCTTTGGGAAACCACAAGGAACAGTTTATCTGGGGACAAGGCCATGTCTCTCCTCTCTCCTGGTGGTTTCTGTTCTAGCCTCTTCAAACTGTGCAATCTTTCAGCAGGAACTTTCTCTCTCCTCAGTAGCTTTGAGTTTTAAGCTTTTTCAGGGAGAGGGGTAGAACTGGATCTTTTCCTAATCCCATGAGCTTCTGTGGATTTAGTTGTGCTTGCTTTCCCTACTTCATACCCCCAGGACTCCTTCCCCAGCAGCAGACACTCCGGAGCACAGGAGACTAGGGAGGGAGGGGTTCTGGGTCCACCACTGCCCTACATGTGATTATGCCGGGCCCCCCCATCATGTGAGAGGAAAGCTGCTAACTCCCTGCTACAGCCATGGGCTCCTGGTCCCCTGTTTTCCTGCTCAGCAGAGCCCCTCCCATCAGAGATTACGGGTACTTGCACTGGGGAGGTGGTTGCTGGCTGGCTGGCCCAAGCAGAGAGCTGAGGCATCCAAGTAACGTTCCCTTGGTGAAGCGGGGGTGCCGGGTGAGGCAGAGCATTCCTTGTACTTCTGGCAGCACTGAGTAGCCACTGAACAGGGTGGGGGCGGTATGGGTTCTGGGGCAGCCTCTTACTCTTTTGCGTTCCTTCTCCCCCATAGCCTATTTCTAAAGTCGCCTTTTCTGTCAGATAAACCTCAAAACTTTTAATTTTATTTGATTTTTTTTTTTGCTTTGAAATAAGAGGTGGATTGAAGAATATTTGACTTTATATTATGCATAAATATTTATATTTTATCTAAATAACTGCGCTGTAACAAACTTTGTGTTAAATATTTGGAACTGTTAGAGATGGGGGCTACTCCTTTTCCTCGTGGCAGTTTTCCCCTGGTATAAAATGTACTAATTTTATTATTGGAGGTGAGGCAGATTGGGGGAGTGAAATCTCATTTGTTCCTGCTTTGTATTCCTCTCCCAGCTCCATCTCTTTCTCTAGGGACCAGGCGCTCTTAACATGGGGTGGGAGTCCTAGCCTCAGCTTGAAGAGGTATGGGTTGAAGGGGGGTGTGGGATAGGAGTAGGGCTTGATCAAAGGGGCCATTTCTCACTTTTCTTTCCTCATCTTCACTGCCCCTTGAGCTAGGTGGATTTTCTCTTCTTGAAAATCGAGTATTTGGTAGGGAAGGCAGGTTTAAAAAAACAAAAACAAAAACCCACCCCCTCCCCCTATCAGTCTGGTAACAGGAAGAAACTACGTACCATCACCACCACCAAGTTCCCATGTTCCTTTTACAACAAAAGGGACTGACTTTTTATATAACCAAATGTGGTGTTTTAGTGACTTTTTGATAATGTACAGTTTTTTGTGAATTTAAATTTATTTCTTTCTATATTTTTAGGACCAATCTCATTTTTAATAAGGTTAAAAAAAAGAAAAAAAAGTCTAGAGAAAACTCCTGTTTTTGCCATGTGATGTTCCACAAGTGCAGCTGTAGAAAAGTGCTTGTCAGTTGAATAAAAACCACATTTGATAGAGATTCAAAAGACTCTGTGTATTTATCTTCCCTTCAACACAGCCTCTCACACATTCCTAAGGGGGAGATGGATGTTAGAATGTTTATGATCATCTAGTATAAGAGCTGGTGGGTAGGGGAGCGTTTCTTTTTCTCCTGCTTTCCTTGGCGTGTGTGTGGCACAGGTTCGCGGTGCTCCCGCCTGCTCTGGCTGCAGTGCCGCACCAGAGTGGTATATGGTGTGCCTACTTCCCACCTCCTTGAAAGCCGTGGGCTTGGCTTCCTAATCTCCCACTGGTGGTGCTACAGTAGCAGACATGGGCCCACCACCACCATCCCACCTCTCTCTTACGCATGGATAAGACACCACAAGATAACGAGTTTCATGTTTTATTTCAAATCAAAAGTTGAAATAAGACAAAATGTAACTACCAAGTGTAGGGAAGCAACATGGGACAACCGAAGGTCAGAAAAGGAAAAAAAAAGCTGGAAGGGTGGTGTTGGCATAGACATGGAAAGAGTATAAAACTAGAAACTTATGCATAAAGAAAAAATGTACAAAATATGTTTGCATATAAATTAAACTTATTTTCTGCCCTAGGTGATAAGTGCACACACAAGAAGAGCACTCACCTACCCCAAAAGGCCCAGAAAGGTGTGTACTGGAACGTGGAGACACAATAATGAGGTGGGACTTTGTTTGCTCGGGCTGGGAAGTCTTATTACCCTCTGGGCTGGAGGGGAACAGTTTTGGTGAACAGTGTAACTGTATATTAAGGTGGAGAGGTAACTACATCCAGCTGCTTCTAGCTCCATCTTCCAGAAGGTGCTTGGTTACCTTCTCAGCTATATGGCTGGCTAACTTTCCCCTATCCCCTTAAATTCTGAGCTCTTGCTCTGATGCTGGTGCTTCTAGGGCAACTCCCAAGCAACAGTTAATACCCTAGAGAGGTTAGGGGTTAATATCCACAGTCTACACCCCTGGCATACCACAACAAGACCTACTGGACAGTTCACGCTCTTCTAGGGAAGATGAGTGAGCTAAAATTCTCAGAGAAGACATTCCAGAAATAGACATAACCAATGGAATTTTTGCATTTCTAGCCCCCAGTTCCCAACCCTCAAGAAGGGAAGGACAGAGTAAAGGAAAGCCGTAACAGGTGCTTGTCCCCTTGTTCACTGTGAGATTGTGAGGTAGATGTAGAACAAGGACAAGGAAGTTTGGGGATGTGCTTGGAGAATGAAGGCTTAGTCAAAACAGATGTGGACAAGCAAGGGAGAAAGCAGTGATAACACTGTGAGGGTGCCCAGCCTTTTCATGACTACGGTCATGGGACCAGGCCTAGGGAAGGGTGGCAGAACTCGGCAAAGATCAGAAAGATGATAGAGCTCACTGGGTGGTCTTAGCTGCTGAAGGAAAGGGAAGGAAGGGGTGAAAGTTGCTAGCAGGCTTCACAGATCATCTAATGCTTGGAAAGACCTAAAATGCAGGTAGCACAGAAACGAGGGAGTAGTTGGCTTTTGGGGGAGGGATCAGGAAGCATCAGGGAATCAAGCGGCAAGATTTAAGATCTGCCCGTCACTGACTCCCGTAATTAACCCTCTCTTCTCTGAAGCCTGCTGAATCAGATCTAGCAAAGCCTCAAGGTGAATTTGGACCTGACCATCCTCCCAAGTTTACGGTCCTAGTTTAAGAAGATAAAGTAGCCCCTCATGAGTGCCATGACATCACTCTGAAAAGGTGGGGCATGTGGACAGGAGAGCAATAGTAGTTCCTTTTCTGTAAGACTAGTAGGCTGGGATCCTTGCAACATTTCAGCAAGGCCTCTCAGAGTACTTTTATGATGCAAGGCTCCAGCCCCCCAAAGCATTGACAGTGAAGCATCAGGAAGTGAGCATTGGAGGCCCCAAGGGGAGTGCATGAGTTCACTGATGAACAGTGAGGAAAGGAAGGAATAGAACTGGACTGAGGTGGCCCAAGTCGGGGATGGTCCGTAAAGTCTGGTCTTCACTCTCAGTGCAAGGAATGTCCTCCCTACCACTCCTATTCATCACTGGAAAGAGCTGTTACCTTTCCAGGCTTCCTAGTCTAGGGAGCTCTTCAAATTCTTTGGTTGAAAACATTTAAAAAAATAATTCCCTCCCCATAATCATTCCTGTATCCTGTCTAACCTCTGTTTCCCTCCAAAAAGTCCAACCGGCTCAGGGTCTGAACATTTTCCCAGAGGCTGAGGGGAGTAGTAACACCACCACTGGCATGAGATGAGATGGGCAGTGTCTGAACACTGGAAAGAGTTACACCATCTGAGGATGGGACTCTGGTATATTCTATTTGTCTGAAAACAGAAAAACATGAAATACTAAAATATTTTAAGAATACTATGAGTGTCCTGTAATGAGTAGAGGAAGAGATATGAAATGCATAGAGTAAGATCTGGGCTCCAGGAAGACAAGATTCTGAAGACATTAGGCAGACTATTCCAACCCTAACACAAAGTAGTATTTAAAGAGCCCACCCCAAGTCTGTGAAGCTGGAAGGCTCCCCTACAATTCTGGAGTTCTAAGCCCCTGCCACACCCCCACCAATAGGCAGTTTAATGAGAGAAAGTATCCTTCATTCCTTCTCCCTCTCTCCAATCTGTTAGAAATGAACTAACAGCTTGGGGGGTAAATATCATGAGTATAACCCAAAAGCACTAAAAAGAAATTCCTCAGTGCCATTAGCCACTCACTACAAAACTGACCAGGCTCCCCATCACTTCATATGCCTAAAACCTTCCAAAGCCAGAAATATGCAATAGAATCCAACAAGCAGATTCACATGAAGAAAACACACAAACAGTAACTTCAGAATTTAAAAAAAACAAAATAGTCATGGCCATTTAAGCATTTTTTAAATACAGAGAAGGCAGGCAGGAGTTCTGGGTGGTGGGGAGAGTGGCGGCAGCAGCGACAACAGCAGCAGTTTCTAAACATGGAATTCCCCATTGCACTAAATCTATCACAGCAAGGCTCCCCCATCTGCAGTCAATCAAATGAACAGGAATCTGCATTTTTCTCTCTAAAGGCCACGGTAAGGAAAGCAGCTAGTGTCCTTTCCTTGTCTGAGGGCATCTGGAGACTCGAGCACATGAGCTATCGACCCAAACCCATTGAGAAGGTTACTGGACTGCAGCTGCTTTCATTAGGATAGACCCCTTCAGAGGTTTGACACACCCAGAAGAAACTGAATAGTGGCACTTTGTCTTACACTTTGTCTGGCCTACTGCCCCTGCTGCCTTACTCCCAGGATGTACAAAGGTACAGTGTAGGGGTAGGGAGCAGTGGGACTCTCAGTTCTAGAGTGGGTGGGAGGAGGGAAAGCTGGGCTCAAGCTCTGCTCACAGTGAGGGCTCCTTTCCCTCTGCCATCTCCCAGCAGCATGCCTAAGGAACATGTTTCTCCATTCTCCATCATTTTGCTTTTTGTCTTGATTACCTGATGGAGAGGCAGCTGGCCTTGAAGTGACCAAAGCAAACCAAGTCTGCTGCCATCGAGTGGATTCCAACTCACAGTGACCCTATAAGGACAGAACAGCTCAAGAAGGGTTTCCAACGCTGTAAATCATTATGGAAGCAGACTGCCTCATCTTTCCTCTCTGGAGCAGCTGGTGGGTTCAAATTGCTGACCTTTTGGTTAGTAGCCAAGCACTTAACCACTGTGCCACCAGGGCTCTTTTCCTTATAGTGAAGGAGAGGGGAGCAGAATTCCCCTTTTGGTGGGTGAGGGAGTTCCTGGGAGAAGACAGGCACAGGAGCTTATTTACTAAAAGACAGGCAAATGCTTTCTACCCATCTGTCTTCACATGTGTGAAGTCAGGTCTTGTAGAACAAGACCGAGTTGAAGAGCAAGATGTAGGAATTTTTTAAGACTCTTGACCTTGAGATGGGATTTACTGCCCTTTTCTAGCCTAGCTCCTTGTCCTTCCACAAGAAGGAAAATTATTTCTGACGCCCTGGATTCCCTGGGAAAGGGACCTAAACAAGTCAGGGCAAGGCAGGTCACGCTAGACAGTTAGGGAGAGCTTTGTCCTTTCCCACCCTGGCACAGTACGAACACACCCACACACACAGCCCGGCCCTGACCTCCATTCTGCCACGTGTCTGTGCACATGTGGCATGAGCACACACAGCCAGAAGCCTTTCCAGGCCAGCTCGTGCTGGATGCAGAGATGCCAAAGGTCAAAGCCTGAGGAGAACTCAGGGACCCCAGTTCTGTCTCCCAACTAACTACATGTACGTCAAAAGGCACTGTGTGTCCAGGGTAGGGGTGGGGAATTTACCAAGGTCCTATTGTGCAGGCAGCAGGAATGACACTGTATCATGGTTTCTCAACGTCAGCACGAATGACACTGTGGGCCAGGTAATTCTTTGTTGTGGGCACCTGTCTTGTGCACTGTAGAATTTTGAGTCTATTCACTAGATGCCAGTAGCATCCCCCAGACATAACAATCAAAAACGTCTCCAGATATTGCCAAATGTCCCCTGGGACACCACCACTTCCTGCTGAGAACCAATCAATGGTCTCTAGGTGAAGAGCTGACCGCCCCACAGTGGGGAGGGACCCTAAGTGGATTCTGCATGGTCACAGCTGCACAGCCTCTGGGCACAGTGAAGTATAATGGGGAAGAGAGTGGTCAGGAGACCCAAGGCAGAAAGAAGATCCTCTAAGAGGCAGGAAAGCAGGTATTCCTGAAGAGCTGCAGCTGCAAAAGCCACTTCCTCAGGTGTGCTGGCCCCAGCAGTGAGAAGAGTCAGTCAGAAGTCACTAAGTCCACTCTTCTGAAACTTGCCAGGAAAGACCTAGTCTTCATCCAAATTTGGCTCAAGGGTGGCTGGCTTCCAGAGGGCATGGGACTGTCTCTTTCATGAGTCTAGGTCACATCTTTCTGAGGCCAAAGTCTAGTCTTCTCCCAGGAGATGGCAGGGCAGGAGGAGGAAAAGCCACTTCCATTGCCTGTTTAGTGTTCCACTTTGTTCTCTGCTCAGCCCCCCAAAATACTCCATACGAAATTTAATTCCAAAAAGAAATCCACAAAATTAAAAACTGTAACAAGGCGAAGTAGACAGGCTCTGCTGTATGGAAGAGAAAAAGAACAATTTGGGTGAGAGAAAGAAGGCATCATATGTGAGAAGAGTCAGGGTGTGTGCAGAGAACTTACCAAACAGAATTTTGAGAGTCTGCATACTTTCTCACAAACATACACCAAAAAGGTCCATAACTAAACTCAAGAAGAGTCTATAGTAGGACTCCTTATCACCACCTCTCTCTCTTTTCTTTTTAAAGAATACATTATAATTGTTTATAAACCCCCTACAATAATTCTAATA